TCCACAGCTCCACCCCAGTTCTAAAACCATGTCGTGATTGTAAATATGTAAATATATGATAGAACATTAGTATTACAAGATTTGTTATGTTTATTGTAAACAACAGTGGTAAACAATAATGATAATAACTTTTGTCGGTTATTGGTTCAATACAGTGAGTTTATTATATCTCTTATATACGTATGGTCTCTCAGGCCCCAAATGTTGTAGGAATAGAAAAAATTGCGAAAAGAAAAGAAAAAAAAACAAAAACCGCAAATAATGTAATGGCGCTATGTGGAATTCGTCGATGTTGCCGCCCCCAACATCATTTTCGCCCAAAATTCTTGGCACTGTATCTCGGTAAGTACTGATCAGAATTTTTTTTTTTGTCTTATTACCTTCACAAAAATATGCTCTTTAATTCTGTTAGAAAAAATATTTTTTTTTTTTTTTTTCAAAATTTCTTGGACATGGAGCACCACTTCAGATTTTGGCCTTGGCCCTGAAGGGGGTTTAATGCAGAATAGGCAGGTTGGTGGGTTTGGGTGGGCATAGTGAAGATGAGTAGAACAAAGGGGCAGAGCCACTATGTCAGGTCACTATACATCAGGTTCTGGTGGGGTAAATAATGTTTTCAAAGGTTTTTATTTAAATTTGAATGGAGCCTCGGCTCTGGAAAATGGTATCAGAAGCAATCAAAGTAGACTTCTAGACATTTCCCCTGTGTGTTTATCCCATTCTTGATGACCAGTTCAGAAATCAGACATTTTATTAAATGGATATGAATTGTCATAGTGAATAATGCAAATGTTATTAATGCTGTTTGTTCTCCCAAGACATTTGGTACTCTTTTACATATGTATGGATGTCTCTTTGAAGTTTCCTAAAGGAAGGAATTTATTACACATCAGCAGGGAAGGGTTTGAAGATGCTAGCTTTGTTGATATCTTGGTTAACCTGTTTGGTAGTGGTAGGTTTCTTAATAGTGGTGGAAGAGACGAAAGCTATATTCTGTTACATTAAAAAAGGTTCCATGCTGCTTCTATGTCTTTTTATGTCCAGCACGTCAGTACTTTGCATCTTCGCTCACACAATTAATTAATAAAAGTATATATTGGAGGGTTTGTGTAAAGGTAGAAACTTGAAAGTGAACATAGATAAGAGTAAGGTGATGAGGGTATCAAACGATTTAGATAAAGAAAAACTGGATATCACATTGGAAAAGAGAGTGAGACTGTGGCAGATGTGAATGTTTTCAGATATTTGGAAGTTGATGTGACAGCAGAGGGGTTTATTGAAGGATGAGGTTAATCACAGAATTGATGAAGGAAAAAAGGTGAGTGGCATGTTGAGGTATTTGTGGAGAAAAAAAAAAATTATGCAGGGGAATTCGGAGTGTGGAAATTAGGAGAAGGTGAGGAGTTAATAAAAGAATTAGTCGGAGGGCTGAAGAGGGGTTGTTGAGGTGGTTTGGTCATTTAGAGAGAAGGGATCAAATGGAATGGCTTGGGAGGATATAAATCTGTAGGAAAAGGAAGGCAAAGTAGGGGTCGTCCCCTATAGGTTGGAGGGAGGGGGTAAAGGAGGTTTCTTGGGCGAGGAGCTTGGACTTCCAACAAGAGTGCATGAGCGTGCTAGATAGGAGTGAATGGAGACATATGGTTTTTGGGACTTGACAAGCTGCTGGAGTTGTGGGGCAGGGTAATACTGGTATTCAGTGAAGGGATTCAGGGGAAAACCAGTGATTTAGCCAAACTTGAGTACTGGAAATGCAAAAATACAATGTCCAGTTTGGAGGGATATGTTATGCATCTTTGTACAGTGGACCGCGAGTTTCGGCCCGCATCAGCTTTCACGAAAATCCGACTTTCGGCAAGTTTTTTCGGCAAAAATTTGGCCTCGTGGTTCGTGATTAGACTCGTGATTCAGCGACCACCCCGGTACCGTCTGCCCGTCACCGCGCACACAAAGCCAGTTTCATGCCATTCACGCTCAGTGTGCCATTGTTTACCAACACGTGACCATCACCCCGCGGGTTCATACGTAATAATCCATTGTTTTTTGCGATTGCAATGCTAAGTAAGTCACCATGGGCCCAAGGAAAGCTAGTGCAAGCCCCCTTTTGGGAAAGAAAGTGAGGAACACGATCGAATTCAGAAGGAAATCATTTGAAAAATAGAGGAGTGCGAGTGCGTGTTACAGAGCTTGCCAGGATGTATTTGGGAAACCCCATTCAACCATCACTTCGATCGTGGCGAAAGAAAAGGAATAAGTGTGCTGTTGTTGCAAAAGGGGTAGATATGCTGACAAAAAAGGAGATCAAAATCCTCGAAAAAATTGGAGAGGTTATTGTTGGTGTGGATTACCGAAAAACAGTTAAAAGGAGATAGTGTTACACAGTCGATAATATGTGAAAAGGCAAGGCAGTTGCATGACGAAACTCATAACGAAAATGCCTGCAGCAAGTGAGTGATGCCCTTTTTATTTTTAGGCCAGCAAAGGTTGATTTGAAAGATTTAAGAAGCGTAGTGGCATTCACAGTGTAATAAGGCATGGTGAGGCTGCCAGTTCTGACAAAATTGCAGCTGAGATTCTCCTTCCAGGCCTGGTGGCCTGGTGTCTAAAGCTCCCGCTTCACACACGGAGGGCCCGGGTTCGATTCCCGGTGGGTGGAAACATTTCGACACGTTTCCTTACACCTGTTGTCCTGTTCACCTAGCAGCAAATAGGTACCTGGGTGTTAGTCGACTGGTGTGGGTCGCATCCTGGGGGACAAGATTAAGGACCCCAATGGAAATAAGTTAGACAGTCCTCGATGACGCACTGACTTTCTTGGGTTATCCTGGGTGGCTAACCCTCCGGGGTTAAAAATCCGAACGAAATCTTATCTTATCTTAATAATAAACACGTATTGACTCATTTTCTGACATCCAGAAATAAACCAAAATTCCTTAACTGCTTGATCTGGATATTTTACCTTCATGAAATCATCTTTATCAAAACACAGTGATGATGTCCCATTAACTGAACGGGCAAGCTCTTTTCCGCTGCCATTTTTGTAAGTGAAAGATAAAAGTTACAATATTTAAAAAAATTCGCCCAACACCAACAAAACTGCCACGGCTTTCAAAGGGATACATGTACTTAATATTTAAAACATCTCAGTCGAAAATATGTTCATATAATCAACCTGTTTGCATTGTGTTCTATATTTATTATTTTTCTAAATTAGATTTAAAACATTGTGAAGGTAATCCTTTATTTTTTTTGTGTTTGTTTGTCCTCTGAATTCTTCTTATACCTTCTTTTTATGTGCATTACTAATTTCAAATCAAATCAAATCAAGTTTAATTCTCTATAAGGTTTCAATGCGGGGTTTTACAGATATTGGGTTATTGTTTGGATTACATGTTATAAAAATCTAAATACAGAGGGGGCCCCACTAGAAGCACATAGCATGGCTTAACATTTCGGGCAGACATAGATTAATTCTTGCCCTAAATTATTACAAATTATGGAGTAAGATTACTAAATACTAAGTACTAATACTAGTTAGTATTTAGCAATGTGGAATGCTTTTTTGTTTTGGCACTATACATAGTTTTCCTTATATTGGAAGTATCACAGGCAAACTTTTGACTATTATCGGGATATTATTTTAAGATTAAGATACATATTTCAGTGCTAATAGTCAAATGATGAGTGAGTGTAAGTGTGAACCACCAGTGGTTTTTATGTAGTTAGTTGACGGGGGTGTTTAGTTTATTCAGTATGACAAAAATACAAATACACACACATAGATTAACATACATACAGCATATGTCTAGAGAATCTAGATAAACCTAA